CTGGTGGGGTCTCAATTTTATGTATTTTTAAAAATTAGTATTATTCTGCTAACTGATTTCCTACGTGAAGTAAAAGTTTTAATGTCTCTCAGTGAATATATATATTGTGGAAATCGAATTATGTGATGATGTATTAAAGCCTGTACATGGGAGTTTGGGACGTTAGATTATTGTAATATCTAATTTTCCCCTTATGTTACTATCCTGGAGTTTATTAATTTTAAAGAAATTTAGCATCAATTCTCAGAATATATCCAACTAAGTTAAATTTTAGGGCATACTGCAAACTTGTTCGCTTTTTTTTTAATTCATTTATTTTATTTTTATTTTTTTTATTTTTTTTTATTTATTTATTTTTTTTTTTTTTTTTTTTTCAGTACCTGTGAATACTCCAAAGAAAGATTTTCTGAATGAGATCTCACTTTTGTCTTTTCATGTTTAGCCTTTCATAACATAAATATTAAATAAATTGCTTTGTAATCATATGAAGAATTCGCTGGCATTTTTTTCCTCTTGTTATTCTCAGCTCTCACTTATCAACGAGACAATACAGAGCAATACTGTGCACCATAAAGTTCACATTGAACTTTCGAAAACTGAAACTTATGATAATTACTCTGAAGCGCGGGATTAACTTCTGCAAAAAGAATATTAATCAAAACGTAGTTTGAAATTCCTGTGATATACAAAGCAATTTCTAACACAGAACGATTTTCAGAATTTTGACTTTTCACTTCTATTTCTCTTTCAGAACACGTTGGAAAATCTCGAATTACTCCTTTAAATACACTCTAATTTAAATGTAATCTGGATATATTTATATAATCTTGAAATATCTTACACTCTCATGGAATAATGAATAACGATTTTTCAAAGCTAAAGAGAAGAGGAAAAACAAAAAGAGAGTACGAAACCTGATTTAAGATGAACAAAGAAAAACGGAGATATAAGTCCACAAAATTATCAGCTTGTAGCATGCGAAACGGGTGTGGTCAACGAAATCACGTGACGAAAGTCATCATCTCTTTCCTCTAGGTGGAATCAAAATATCTCAGCCAAGGAAACTATTCTTCTTAATGCTTATCACGAATTTATCCGTGATTTTCATTCTCGGTAGCTTTTGTCTGACATTTAGCTATGTTTTGACACATTATGAGTTATGCATAGGTAAAGTACTGAATTAAGGAGATGAATACACCTGCAAAACGGAAAAATTCATAAGAACTTTCGCATAGTTATCACTTTAATTTGATCACAGTAAAGCAATTCTCAGGTAATTTACTATTTTATATGAATTTTTTTAAAAACAACTCGGCATATTAATTATTATATAACCCATATTTGTGGAATAAATTATTAATTCTACGTAAATTGTCACCCTTAAACTGTTTAATTCAGAAGGAAGGAAATATTTACTCTACAAATTTGGTACAAATTAATTGCTATTTATGACAGAAAGCATTAAGGTTCCTGTAGACTAAAAAATACCAAAAGTAACCCTACTTCACGAGACTTACACTTTATGTGTGAGTTTGTTAAGAATTTACTCTTTTCTTACCGTATACCTTTGTAATAAAACTGAAAGCACGTCTAGCTATCACAGGAAGATCTGAAGTTCGAATCCCGGCGATAGCATTGCTGATTTCTCTGCTTTGCTCTTTCGAGATACCTAATGAGTCTACGAACTTCCTATAACGCGGCACTGTATGATAACCTAATTCTTGTCTCAAGCACAACAGCTCGTTCACTTCGATAATTTGGGTTTTGAATATGGTATCATAATTTTGGCAGATCTTGAAATAAGAGTGGTACATGAATCGCATCCTTTGCATGCCCTCGCAAAAAATCGTAGGATGTAATTCTAGAAACTTTTGCAATTGCTCATCAAAATCCCCTTATCTAACGTAATGAGATATTTTTCTTGTGGATGTTCATGTCAAGGAGGCTATTAACGTGCTACTTTAATCCCCAAATCGGTTAAAACTGTACAGAATGGTGACATTCTCCCAAGTGTGCTCTCAAAGATGTAAGTAAGCATGTCCAGCTGACAGCTAAAAGATTTGCAATTCAAACACCTAAGAAGGCACAGTTGAGGTCACGTTTTGTGCTCCCAAATAACTCTGATAAACTCTATAAAGTTACCATATCGTACTCAGATAACTAAGAAGCTAGAGACGTAGACTTCTTGCAAATTATGTGACAAGAACTTAGTTACCAGCTTTGATTAGTGTCATATAGCTCACACATAGAAAATTCAGAAATCTTTATAGTGCAAATATATCTACTACAAACAGCTTCAGCAAAATAGATTCATTCCTTTTTATTTACCCTGTATATTGGATTAAATTCTATGATAAATAATTACCTTTGAGAACAAAGTTCCCATTTCAGTATTAATATTTTATGTTCACTATTCGATTTGAAGGTTTTGATATCAAAGTTCTCAATCGTTTCATAAAATTTTAAATTTCCGGAATATTCATTCTCTTTGGAATTTAAGCTTTTGAAAGTTCATTGAAAATGCTTATTGGTTAAAAGAAGAATTACTTTGCGTGTACTATTAATTTATGCTGTTACTCCTCTACTATTCTAATTTGCAATAGAATTTCATTATGAAAGAGAGTTTAAAATTGCTAATACGAGGAAGCTTTGAAATTTTTTTTATTTTTCGTCTTAATGTTCGTAAAGAAATATTCATTGGTATAACTGTGTTACTAGTGATTTTTGAAATATATTTATGCATTTAATTTTTTTTAGTGATTCAAATAGTATAAGAAATAATATATGTCAGTACATATTTTAATATGTTATTAAATTAATTCATATGCATTGCTTTTTCCTCGACGGGATTTGAATTTTAATATTCTTAGATGAGCTAATGTTCAATCAAAAAGAAAAACGTATTCAAGTATACTGAAAAGAAACACCATAAGAAAAATAGTTTTATTGTAGAATTTTTTTACAGAAAAAAAGAGTATTTTGTATTTTATGTTTCATGGAAATAAAAATACTTTCTTAATTGCATAATCTTTGTTGAAATAAAATATAATAAATGAAAAAGGTATTATTACCTTATTTATAGTATCATAGAGGTATAAATATTTTCATACCCCTAAGAAAAGGATAACTTAATTATCCGGATTTTTTTAGTATACGAACGGACTGTAGCCCGAATGTTTGGAGTATTGCAGTAGATGTTGAATCAAAGCTTTATATCTTTCTCTACTTACGGGGAAAAGAAAACTTGTCATCATGCCAATCTATTTTTTTAACAGATACTTTTTTTCCGTAACCAGGGAGAAGTTAACAAAGACAGTCTTTGTTGTTCACTTTATAGAAGTCTTTTTCATCGTTCGTTTGAAAAGTTCATTTTGAGGTCCACTGGCATTGCAAAACAAGCTTATTTTAACCATAGTTCAGCATAATAATTGATTACTATGTTGAAATATATATCTACCAATTGGCTTGAAAGCGATATTTCTAGTGTGCTGATTAAGGTTATAAGGGATTTCATAGCAAAATCTGAATTATTTCTTTACCTGTAACATAAATGGGTTGATTCTGCTCACAGAAATATTGTTGAACTTACATAGAAATACTCCGCTAGAAACAAATCTATAATGGATAAAACTATTAATATATTTCTAGTACAATATATATAATAAAGGATATCATTTTCCTGTGTACTATAGTTTAAGCCATTTAATTAAAAAAAGGGCAAATATTAAATCAATTGGGAAAGAAGCTAAGGTATAAAGAAACTAGTTAGTAGTTCTTGTTATAGTCCTTTATGATATTATACAAAGACAAGAATTTTCCTGTTCAATCATTTTAAAGTTAATTTTTTCTTTAATTAATTAAAATAAAATGTGATCACTGTAGTGTGTTCACGCGTTCCTGTGTATAAGGCAGTATTTTAGGAAAAGCTTGATCTGTTAACAAGATTAACGAAGGAGGTCTCATATATACAATTATATCCGAACTGTGTCCTAAGTGCTCTAATTTCATCTTTTTTACAAGCATTATTAAAGAACTTTTATTTGAACGCATGCTTGAATTTTGCAATTTTGGAAAAAAAATTCAAAATGATCCATGATGCACAAATATCCAGTCCCATTATAAGGTATTTTCTCCCTCCTTCTAGTATGCCTTCGTGGTATAACGGCGAGTATTCGAGAGATCCAGGTTCGAGTCCTGGCAAGGGCATTGCACATTTTTCATGTCCCTTGCTTCAACACCTAATGTCTCTGCAGAGGGTCTCGAACAAAAAGGTGGTGGACAATAATTCGTCACCAACAGGATCTAGAGACTGCGTTCTTAAAAAATGTAAAAGGGTACTTTGATTTTTCATATTCAGTTCGGGAATCTTTTTATACATACATATTTATATATACATATGTGTATATATATATGATGTACCAGCTTTTGTCCTAAATAAATAGATTGCTGAAGAAATACAAATGTAGTCGTAGCTTAAATTATCAGACAATAAGTTTAAAAAACAGGATCCATTTATTATTGGTCAGGAGAAATAGCAGTTACAAAATCATATATCTGGAGTAAATAAAAAAGAACTACTAATAACATTTTGTATGAAGTTTACTGCATCGTGACATTTAAGAAAAAGCCCCGATATTCTTTTTGCGAGTCCTTTTATAGCCTCTGGAAAGGCGGAGCTTCCAAGAAATGACGTCAGCCTCGTCAGCCAATCCAGTTCGCTTTAAATATTTCCAGAACATTCTAAAACTGTACGTGTAGAAAAGGCGGGAAAAACAACTTGACTATGGAGCTATAGATTTAATTCCACGTACTTTCAAATAAGAGAACGTCGCCATTAAAAAATGAAAAGAACATACAGTTAGAATTTTAATTGTATTCTTGATTATGGAATTTTATTATTACATATATATAATATATATATATATATATTATATCGGGAATTGCTGCGAAAATAAAAATAAGTGAACTTTGGAAGGCTTCAAGAAGAAGCGCTTACTTACCTGATCCAAAAGTTGCTCATGGAATTTAGCTGTAGAATAAGGGGCAGATCCATCATCTTCTTCGTCTTCTGTTTTGAAATGCCTTGGTCTCGGGATACCATTTTCAGATCTGTCAGGCGATTTGAAAGAGGTTCCAGCCGGAACTGACTCTTCGCGCACGAGAGAAGCGCATTCAGAGTCCTCTCTCTGGTGTTCTAAGGTCATCGGAGAAGTTTTCTGTAAAATAAGACTCAGATTCAGAAAAAAAGTTTAGGTTTCAGCATTTATAAGTTTATAATCATAGCATATGAATTTATAAAAGAGATATAGTTCTCTTCATTACGATTTTTATGCCTAAACATTAATATATATATTATTTGACTCCTTAATATTCTTCAACGTTCAAGATGTAACTTTCAGTACTATTAAAATCTTTCAGGGATACTATTTCAATCCGTAATTAATATTCGATTTCCTAATAATTCTTACAGTTCAACCAGACGATAGTCTCTGGATAAGTTAAATGTTTTTTTGCTTTGGCAACTTTTCAATTTAAAACAAAGACTATGTTAAACCATTCTAAAGAAAGAAGACAGAAATAAAATGTAATAACCTAAGAAGAGACAAACAGAAATCCCAGTCAGTTACTATGTCAAGATCTGGAAAAAATGCACGTTTTAGTTCTCTCTGAATGCGATTTCACCATTTTTAAGCTTTAGGTTCTAATATTTCTTGATATATGCGATCTACTACAAAACACATAATCTGAAACATTTGAAATTTTACAATTTAAAAATTTCAGTCATTATTCTTGATGGATATTAGCTTAAAAAGTTTGTTCGAAAGGGACGGTGGTTTTAATAAAAATGTAAAACATCTCCATAATGATTCCCTGGCTTACATTATTAGCAGCAACGCTCAGCGACAAATTTAGTAACCTTACCATTTTCTATCACAAGCTTAAGAATGAGAGACTTCTTTGTTCTAAACACCTGAAAACGTCCATTATTTCTATTCAACGTTTACAAAGAGAATTTTACTAGCCCAAGAAATTATTTTATCAATCTCCTCTGAGCGGAATTTCATAAGATACTTCTTTCATTTATGCAATTCTATCGCTTTCTGGTGTATTGGTGTATTGAGAATACGGCAAAGCACCCTAGGGCTATCTGCCTGAGGGATGCCTTCGTGGAGGACTTTCTAAGGGAAACTGGCTCGTACACACGTTACACATGGCGAAAACCACGAAAACGCCCATGCAGCCAGCCCGTTCGCGGGATTCGAACCTCGGACCGAACTACCAGTGTTCAGCGACTTTACCGCTCGGCCGCTGGTGGGCTCCTATCTCTTTCTGGACATGACACGATCAAGTGTATACCATAATTAGTGTTTAGAAGTATAACCATTGGAAATTGATTCCAACCAGAAACTCCGAGTCAAATCAAGTTTTTGATTAAAAGTGCCATACACTTTCTTATTTATATCTGGCTAAAGCTGGAGTTAAAATGAATAGAGTAAGAATTTCTACGGTAAAAACCAACAATAAGTTACCATCAAGGCAGGAATCATCATTAAAATTTAGATTGTACAAATCTCAGGATAATAATATCAGATTTATTCAATATTCATACAAAACAAAATCCTATGTTATTTATTCCAAATGCTCCTTACTGACATATGTATTTTCTCAAATATTTCAATTCATATTACATTCCTTATATATTTGAATAAAATTTAATAGACTGAATAACAGTAATATTGCGATAGTGAAAGAAATATTTACTTGCAAATTTTGATGCAAACTGCAGTTTTGTGAAAAGAAAGAAAAGTTTTTAAAGTAAATGTGATTATTTTTCTACCTTGTAAATTATTAAACATTTTCTGCTCGCAAACTAAGACGATTATAGAAAACTGGTATTGAAAGAAATCTGCATGCTTGAATAGATGAGTTTTATTATTAATATTTATTTTTGAAGCTTAACTGTAAACTGTTTGGATATGCTAATTTATGCTTCAAAAAGAACGATACTGATCGATATTTTTATATTTTCTTTTAACAATGAGATTCAGAAACTCGTCTTTAAATAAATGTAAGATACAATTCTAGCTACTTTGTTGTTACAGCTTGGTTACTTCGTTGTTGAAACCATTCACAGTCTTCAAACATTTCCTTAACATTTAAATGAATTTTTGTATTTTCCTCATTTTGCATTTTGCTCAGGCTGAAATGTAATAGCTCAAACTCTAATTTTATTTTCCATTATATTTAAGAAAAGTTGTTAAATTGATAAAATCATTTTTAAAAGTAAATAACTTCCTTCCTTTTATAAAATTCTTGAAATCTGGAGTGTATTGTGAGGTATTTAAATGAATTCTGTCTAGAATAGAATTATTTAAACTTAAAATGAAAACCTTATTTATGCCTGCAAGGCAATTCTTTGATTAAATTCAACAGAAGTATTAAGGATGTATTACCGTGTTATCACTTTTTGCAGAAACTAGCTTTATTGAAATCTGTACTTTATTCAAACGTATGCTGACACTGTAAAATAAGTACAACTATTCTACATTTCTCAAACAAATGTATTGCTTTACTATATGGCAATAATTTTAATAACGGATAGAAAAAAACTTCCTTATACTGTACTGCAAACATCTTAGAATGTTTTGAAAATGCGTAAATATATATGTGTGTGTGATAAGAACAAGAAGCACGACAAGGCGTTTTTAAAACGCTGTAAGATTTTTCTCCTTTCTTACCGTATACCTTCGTGGTGTAATTGGAAAGCACATAGGGTTAGCAATCAGAATGTCTGAAGTTCGAAGCTTGGTGACGGCACTGCTTATTTCTTTCATGTCTCCTGCCTCGAAATAAATTTAATAACTCTACAGAGGCGCCCGAACAAAAGAAAGATGGTGGACGATAATTCGTCACCACTAGGGTCAGCAATTGAGTGTTGGCCTTCCCAGTCGCCCCTTTAAGTGGGGAAAACATAAGGTTTTTCTTCTTCCTCACCGCTCGTCTTCGTAGTGTAACTGTAAATCACGTCTGGCTAACAAACGGAAGTTTCGGAGTTCGAATCCTGGCGAGGGTATTGCACAGTTTTCACATCTCCTTCCCAGAAATAAACCTAATGACTCTACAGCGATACACTTCTTCCATTAAAATTCTGATGGAGAAAAATCATTTTATTTTCCATACTAACTGAATTAAAAAAATTAATGTACATAACATACATCGCTCCCTTCAACTAAAGGTTATAAAGAGGATCCCAAAATGAGAAACCAAATTTAATATTTAATTACTTCTGAACGTTTACTTTTAAAATGTTTATTATTTATTTTTACAGTTCATTACAAATGATATTTAAAAAAAGCAATGCATAGGATACGAAACAAGTTTTATTTTAGTATTAGCTGCTGTTAGTGTTATAAACTTAGTGCTGTATTATGAGAAAGGTGCATCCCTCATGTAAAATTTATTTTAAAAACTATGTAAAATTTATTTCAAAGCTTTATGATCAAGGTTAAGTTGTAAAGAAAACAGTAAAAAAATCCTTTTCAAGTAAAACAAATACGTAGAAGGTTCGATACTAAAAAGCGCTTAACCATACACCAAAATTACTGAAGTACCACCCAAAGAACATGAAAAAATGTTAATCACGTACAGTTCACGTATAGTTTCTTGTCAAGATTAACTGCAGAGACTTTTAATACAACAAGCTTTTACATTAGGGTTAACCAAGTATCTATCTTACACATACTTGCATTTGGATAATAAGACCTTAATGGCGTGAGATAAAGACAAGTTTAATTATTAGATGTTATATGCCACAAAGGGAAGCTCACAATTAGCCACATATTAAGATTCTAATTTGGGAAAAGCATTCTGAACTAAGCTTTTGGTTACATTCAGATGCACGTTCCCTCTGCGTTAATAAAATTTCGATATTGAGTACGGTATTCTAAAGTTACGAAAAGGATAAGCTCGTCCAGAAAAATTATATTCTATTACTTGGTCATGGTAAAGGGCACAAGGATTATCCGGCTATGAGAAGCAATAACTTTGTGCCGAACATTTTAGGAAATCCTTTCCATATTTACATCACGCATAACAAAAACTACAAATATTCATTCAATCAGCATGTTCATCCACCGACGAGCCGCCCAAACGGTATAGTGGTTAGGGTAGTCCACTGCGGTACCGATGGCCCCGGGTTTGAATCCCGGAGAAGGCATGGATGTTTGTAATTGTATAATGTCTTTACAGCATGGGGACTAGCTATAGAACAGCCGAAAGTCTTCTCGAGAGATTGATGGTAGGGGAAGAGGGATGGGAGACTCTCGGACCCGACTTTCCCCCCCCCCCAGGGTGCCACAGGGTTAATATTGTGGACGGAATTTAGCGAAGTCGTACTATCACCTGTTTGGTGTTCAAGGCTCTTGCCAACGACAGGCGCAGTTTTGCTCTTTTTGCCACGATGAATTTTGTGGGCTTGTTCTGATTTTACTGTCAAACAAGTGAGATAAGTCACAACAACATCCGTCATCGCCGGTAAAGAGAACCGACACGCCTTGATCTGGATTTGATTTATTAGATTATGACAAAATATGCTCGTAACAACAAAGTACTTATGACAAAGTACTGGAAAGGGATATAAAAGGAAACAAAAATACCGATGCTTCCCATAATAATATGTTATTTCAGACATTGAGAATGACGCAATAGGACACAAATATCATTTTTATTTCCATTGGTACTTTTTCAATACATAGTTGAGCTGAGTTAGTAAAGAAAGTAGTGATAGATTTGTTTAAAGGTTTCAAATTGAACAGCATTGCTGATAGTACATAAATTGTTAGCTACAAAGAGATTATAACATAAAATCTCGACCGAAGTTATATAATTTTACTCAATTACTGCTGAGAAAATTACAGTGATAACAGAATAATATCATTGAAGAGTTCATAAGAAAAATGTCAATAGCTAATTTAGTCATGAAAAGCTTAGGAAATATATATAAATTTTATAGATTTAGTAAAAGATGTAAGGTCGTATTGTTAGCAAATTCATAATCAGAATCATCAATCGTTATTAACAGAATTCTCGATGCATGAAACATCTTCGCTACTGGTGAATCGTCATAATCAAATTTATAAAGGCTCTATAGAAATATTCTAATACTATTGCACAAAAATATTCGCCCTTGTTTTTCTTCACAAATGTCACCTTTCTT